ATTATGCAACAGCTGTATGGAAATTTAAGCTGGCTATTATTGTCAACGATAGCATCAGATGATGCACCTTGGAAACGTCTTACTCTTGTAATCGGTGGAGCCAGCCTAACCAGTAATGGTGAGAGCTGTTAGAAGAATGGAAATTTAAGCCGAATTCACCTATCATACCAAATTTGCTAAAAAGCGAAAGCATTGATGAAAAACATTTATAGCCTCTGAATAAGTTAAAATATAGCAATTGTTAGAATTCGTCCTCAAATCTTAGTGAGAAATATTGAAGAGAATGTGAGCTTAGGGTCGTTAACCCAGTTCTAATCTCAACTGCATGGATGATGATTAATTTGTCCAGTTGCTAGTTAAGGAATCGGATCTTCCACCCGACAGAAGTTCATTAAAAAATCCGGTGATATTTGCGATCGATCTACACGTAGAGATTTTATAAAAGCCTCATAGCATGTATTCTATCGCTAAGTGGCGCCACCACAAAAATTCTCATCGTACAGCCAGCCAGTGAACTAATGGTAGTGTAGTCAAGTGACTCTTTTATTTTAACTTGCTTTCAACTTATTTTAGTTACATGTTAGTCCAATTCTATACGTTGTCATGAAAAAGCATTATAGATAGCTTTTTATAAATTTTTTTCGACAAATAGTAAAATGATAGAATTAATACAACCCTACTAATCACGGTGAAAAAAACGTAAGTAAAAAAAGTTTCTGGTTAAGCTAGTAGCTAAGGCTGTTATTAACATATGAATGGAAATTTGAATAAAAATGAATAGAAAATTTTGGTTAGAAATTTTTGCCATGTAAAAAATGAAGGAATATAAAATGAAGGAATAAAAATGCTCATATTCGTGGGATTCATAAATAAATGTATGCTATTATATGATATGATAATCAGTTGATCAACCAACCAAATCTTAAACAGCACAGTTCTTATCCAACAAAATACGAAGATGAAACGAAACAGGATACAATCAAAGCTGATGAATCTAATTTTCTCAAATCCCTATAACTATTTTCTTTCATCCTATATTTTCTCCTAAATTTTCAAAAATATTTTACATCCAAGTATGCAATTTGCTGCGAATTTCGAGAACACATTGAACTTTGGCAATTTCGATAGTTTTTTGCGATTAGAGTACTCGATTGCTATCATTTTATGCGCAGATCAAAGTATTATAGAATTAGCTTCATAAATTAATTTTGTAATGAAATCTATTGAGGAGACTATTCGATGAAATTGATTCATTATTTCCGATACGGATTTTTTTGATTTACGCCTGAGTTAACCGTTTTAGTGGCTAATTGACTGATAGAATTGATGAAACTTATCGTGACCACTAAGTGAAAAATGAACTTAAAAAAATTTAGTAAATTTGACAAATGAGCGTCAAGTATTTGATTAACATCTGTCAATAACTACTGATCTACTTTTCTTGTGCAACTGATTATCATTTTTTTTCTAGTTAGTCTTATATATTTTCAAATTTCGAAAGTTATTTGATTTTGCTTTGACTTAATTTCAACGAGTAAAGTAAGTTTGATTAGTTATGTCTGAAATTATATAACATTCTATTCGAATAAAAAGCATAGATGAGATATTATATATAGAGAGAGGGAGTTGTATTTTCATATTTACAGAGCTTGTCCAGGAAAAATGATCTGGTCATAATTTTTGAAGGTTGAAGTGTTTTGAGAATGCTATATAATATCGCTTTGTTTTGTTTTCCTTATTATCGCTACTTGCAAGATAATAATTGTTTAACTGAGGCGAAAAATAAAAATTAAAAATTACAGTAAATGTGAGAAATGTTTTTAAAAATTTATTTGAATTGATTATTATCGATGAAAAATAGAAAACTAAAATTGATCAAAAAATGAAGTAGAAGTTTGCAATTCTCTGAATCCAGCTAGTTATTATCAATAGAGTTCCGATGATTAAAAATCTATTCTAAAATTTCGAAGCTAACCAACTTTCATTTTACTTTATCATTTCTACTTATTCGACGATTATGATGTTTTTTCATTGTCTATTCGGATTCATTTCTATAGGAATGCATAAAGATATTTCATACGAGATTGATGGCACGAAATAAGTGATAATCTTCATGGTGATAAAATTTTTCATTATTTAAAAAAACTGTGTTCGGCTGGGTCAAATGAAAATCTAATTTAACTCTTTCAAGAGAATAACAATTATGAACTCTCAAATTTTGTTCAAACTTCTTTCATGTTTTTCTTTGCCTCATTAGTTCACATTAAGTTTCATTGATTCTCATTAATTTCATCAGTGTTTGCTACTGAAGTTCCTTTCATATTTATGCCTTTAATTTCTATATTTTTAATTTTTAATACCTGAAAAAATTTTTTTTTTGGAGTCTTCACCATTACTGGTTAAAATCTCTCCGCTGGCTTGTCGCACTGGACAAATATGTCAAGGAATCCCTTAAATAGATTCCTCGATAGAAGTACAGGTGTGCAGCCAGCATCATCCGGAATACGTGAAAAGTAATTGCATATGAATAGGTTTTAGACTGCAATAAATTAGAACTATCCTACTTATTATCAAAAAAAAGTTGTTCATCGGAGCATTTTTGCGTTTCCACTAAATTTAGCAAGATATTTCGTTATTTTCTTTCGCTGAAGATTGGAAAACTGCATGTTTCGTTTCTATAGACTAAATGATCTTATATAGATCCATAGTTTTTGAACTGAATTTAGGCCTAATTACTGTTATCTTTTATCTTTTAGAAATTATTTTGTTTGCCAATATTTTAGTTTAAATTTTACGAGATTCACAATTCGACTTGTAAGAATAAAAATAATGTTTCCACTATTACATATTAGGCGAAAAAAAATGACTCCAAATTCTACATTCCAGAATTAATGAAAAACTAACTATTAGATTTTGCCACTCTCATTAATACACAAAATTTTCCACATTTATTTCAAAAGTGCGCTTCTCTCTAACATATTTCTTTAGTTATTGCTTAGAAGAATTCAGCGGTTGCAGTAGGCGCACAAATTCTTGCAAAATGTATGATCCATTCACTATTAGATCCGACAGAATTATTTGACCTCTTGGTAACGATAAAATTTTTAATATCATAATATTTTAATATTTTTAATATAATTTTTAATAATATTTAATTTTTAATTTTTAATATAATTTCTAAGGAATTAAAAGTCGGCTTATTATAATTTTATTATAATTTAGTCTATTTTCTTCTTTTATCTTGTATTTGAAAGTTCGAACATCCTTGTACATATAGCCGCCCTTTTTAGATTAATTAAATTAATTTATTCATTCATATCTTCAGTTGTTTAATATGTCACGCCAGCCTTACAGATTTCTATTCATATAATCCAATAACTTTTGTCTGAATATCTTTTAGGAACATCGAAAATTCTCACTATTTCTAGTTTGGCTTTTCTCCACTGCCAATTAGGATGAAATCCTTTCACTAGACAGTCACTCAAGAATTACAACTAGGCCGACAATATAAGCCGAATTCACCTCTACGAATAACCATGGCCGAATCAAATAACATTTAACCATTCAGGAACTTTGATTCGCATGAGAAATTAAAAAATGTTGATTTTTGCTTGTAGCAGAATTTTTGTATTCACATCATGGTTACTCTATTGTATATAATAAAATATAAGGTTTTTTACATCACATATGTATGTGTATATAAAAATCTTATGAATCTGAAAAGCTTTTTTTATATTTACAATTAAGCGATTGGTGATGAAGAAGTTTTGAAGAATCAATAGAATGTTTTTGACATAAGCATCCGAAATGTGACGATAACGAATAACTGATTTTGACAGATCCATGACTGATATAAGGAGTGATCAAATAAGTGAATATACCCTCATGATCTAATAGCTTAAAAACTTTACATTGTCGATGTCTATTATCGAAGCTATTGCAATATTTTCTCTACCATCGAGAATTTCAATCGTTTCGCGGAAGAAATTTTATGAAAAATATGTACAAACATTTTTAAGAGACAAAAAATTTCGGCATGAGGAATCGACTGCCCCAACTAATGAGTGTCATTTAATGTCATCTTTGAATGAGTCTGACAAATATCTGTCACGCCCCATTGTCTTTTAACTGCTTACATATAGGTGACCATATGAGCGAAATGTTTTTGTAGATTTTTATTATCTAATCCATCCAATTTTCGAAAGTTTTTCTTTGCGTTGATTTTTTTTTCGAGGAATTATTAAAGGCAATCCATTTACTAGTTTATTGTCCTTCTTCAAACATCATTTATTAAATATTTCAATGATTTATGTAAGATTAGACGAATAATAAAAAATGAATGAATTTCATTTTTTGACTGAAACATCTAATTCTCTTTAACATCTCTTCCTATCTTGTTGCTTAACTTTGTTCTTGAATTTATGTACTTGATTTCGTGAGGTTTCGCAATAAGATGAAGTATTCTATATCTTCTAAGCAATTTTGCTTTGTTTAGCTATTTGGACGATAAGCTCTTCGCCAGTGTTTCATCTGACGACAGAATTATTGGTAGGTCTTCAGCACCATCCGGATTTCATCCTTAGTCACAAGTCTACTTTTATAGATATAGGTCTTTAACCCATGAGGGCTTAATCCTAATCAGAGCAGCAAATGTATATAAACATATAAGCGTACGATCTGATTATCATGTTTCTTAATGTCTCGAGTTATGCTAATTCCAATCTTTTTATAGTAATCACACAATTTTTTTTAAGTCACTAATTTGACGAAAAAGTTTAAGTTTAAGCCTTAAAAATAGAATCGAATCCAGCATCCAAGTGCGAAATTTTGGGTATTTTTCGGCCATTGGCATTCGTTTAATTAAAGCTTAGTTGTGATATGTTTCAAGCGTTATTCTACACTTTTATTTAGCGTTTGATATGGCTTAAAAATTTTATACTTTATCTAGCGAATAGATATCGAAGAATAGCCGAATAGAAATTTCTTTAATTACTTTTGCTATGTTTTTCTCTAAACTTCTCTATAAAATTTTTATTTATATTATCACAGAATTATTAAACAGAGGTAGTTTCCAAAAACCGGTTAAATCACCTGATGTAAAGGATGATCTTCATCTGACAAACAGCGGGAATATTGGCACAAACGAATTGAACTGCAATCGATATCTCAATACAACGATGTATCCATCGAACGAGAGTGGTACTCATCATGAAAGTTGGATTATTCATATACAAATTTGGTTTGTTTTGCACTAAAAATGGAGTAATTAGAAAGTTAACAAATGTATCACGTCGCTTATTGTTTAAGAAATATTTGAAATAATCCGCCCTATTTTCTCTGAAACTGCACTTCATGCAGAAATTTTCAATAGTAAATGATTCCATAACTCCTGATTTTCTTACAAAAATTTCAAATTCAAATGCATATAACGAGGTAAATATATAAAAAAGTACAGTAACACCGTCTCAGCACTTCGTTCCATCGTGGAAAAGATAATAGCGATACCGCTATCAGTCTAATTATTTGCGGAACTGCCTATGCTTTGCGACGTCGGGCAACATTTTATTATATTTTAATGTATTTTTAATGTGTTTTTAAATAACTTTTGTGTTATTCATCTACGCTATATGTTTCTCGTAAATCTTTTCAGTTAATTTAACGTTTAAATTTCATAATTTCGTCTGCACTGCAAATAGATTCAAAAATATTTATTAAAATACTCAAATATTCTATTTTAAAAACGAGAAAGAAATTTATTTAAAAATTATAAAAGCTTGTGGAAATGAATATTCTTCGCAGCCTCTTGCATTTCCGTAATCACTTTCACGTTTTTTGAGTTGAAATTTTTCACGTCCCATCTCTTCATATTTTGTGATATCATGACAGTGGTAATTGTGTATATATATGGGATATTCGAAATAATAATTGTTTACTCGTGAAATTCATTTGCAAATTTATAGGGATCTCATGAATAATTTTAATGGCCCATCAACATCATCGCTAATCAACCGCTCAAATGGATCTGCAGTCTGCGGAACGCAAAGTAGCGCTATTCATAAAGCTCATATCGTGACTTTACCAGATAATGTCCTAATAGAAATATTTTCGCTAGTGAGCTACCAAGATATTTATCGAGCGCAAAGAGTCAACAAACGTTTTTTGCATTTATTACGAAGGAATGTGCATCGGCTGAGGCGACCGACTGTTTCCGAAATAAGGTTTGATTTTCACTAATCGAGTCGATTTATTTTAAAAAGTGAAATGACTATCAGATTTTGAACGTTTGATGAAATAAAAGCAGGTGAACTTCGCTTTTAAATAAAATAAAATTCATAATTAGCGGTCATTTTACACTTTAACCAACACAACCAATTCGTTCGAAAATTTTTCTCCTCTAAAATTCTTCGAATTTCATGCCTCCAGAAAACGAACTTTGTAATTTACAATGCAAATTTTTCAAGAAAAATTATAAAATACTCGATTTATAGTTATATATCTGATTTATTTGATTTCGATTTATATATTTAGTATTCGAATGAGCGTAATTGAAAATCGTACACATCCGATTGGAAGGCTGAATTTATCGAACTTCAGAAAAAGAAAAATTGTAAGCCGACGATTAAGCGTCGCACTCACATGTAAAAAACAAAACCCAAAGAAAGAATGCAAATGTAGTTCACCGAAACAACGAGCAATTGAATTAGAAGATCGTGTTTCTGTAACAGGTCCATTTATTGTTTTTTTATTAGAAGTACTCATTTTTACCGATTATCAGAGCCAGGAAGTTCCTTGGCAATAAAAGTACAAGTGGGTTACTAGCACAATCTGGATTGTTGGACAGGTTTACTCTCGCTAGGAACTCAGCATCGGCATACCGAATTGATCAACCCACTGAGCCATTTTATCTTCCTTTGCTTTTCTCCATAGGCGACAATGTGGCCCGATGAAGAGTGGTAAACTGGCGGATTGGTGTCCAATCCTCGATTCTCGGTAGCAGTTATTTCGCCACTGAGCCACCGATGTTATTATTATCATCTTATGTTATTAATTGTTAGCTAAAGAAAATTTCATAACTTGAAGCGTTTTTTAAACATTTTAAAGGTTATGCGCGTTATAAAAAATTCACTTGAATTTTTTCATAATTTGCAGATATGTATCAAATTCCCGAGAATTTCTTAACGTGTTTGGATGATCGCTTTAAAGAAGTGATTGTTGAAGGAATAGTTTCGCTTTATGGAATAACGCTTAATGAAAAATTATACTCACGTCTTACTAAAAATTGGGTCGAAATAAGGTACTTTCCCTTCATTATATTTTATAACTTTTCATATGGTCGTGCTAAGTAAATAAATTGCGATTCAATAAATAATTGCGAGGGTTTAGCCTAAATCATTTTTGATCTACCATGAAGTTTGCAGCTGCTATTTGTTATACATTTTTCTTGAAATCTAATGTAAATACTGAGACTCTTAATAGTATCCACTAATTGCTAAAATTTTATTTAGTTCTGCCAGCTCGCTTTTAATTACATTGTGCCGTTTCGATATATCCAAAGAGCAATTTCGGCATATGCTGATTCGAACGAGTTGTAAAAAGCTTCACATCGAATTGTCACATATTAAGGACTCAGTTCTGAACGATTATGTTAGTTATTTGGAAAGTTCAACCACTAAAATTAAAATATATCTTAAAAAGCTTTTTTTTGATTATAATTTATTAATTGTTTTGTTTTTGTCAATGTTTTTAAAAAATCTCCTCATGTTGCTATTAATATTTCTAAGAAAAAGTACTTGAAGGTGTTAGAAGGAATGTGTAGCTGTGAAGAACTAACGGCAACTTGCGTTTCTCCAAGGTATTTCGAAGGACTTACTGATTCAACTTTAAACTATTGGGCATCACAGAAAAATCTTCCACGTCGAATCTATATGCAAAATGTTTTTACGAACATAACATTGCAAGGAATCTACACCATGATTAATGTAAATTGCATATTACATTGTTTTAAACAGCTTGATATTAACAAATAAGCTTATCATAGGCATCAATATATATGAATATTTACAGTTAAGAAAATACGTATTTTCACATATACAAATATTTTAGCATTTATATGCGTAGATATAAATGTATATCGTTTGTCTTTGATCTGATCTGTTATTTTGATCTTTACAATATTTACAATACTTCAATGCAGCAGTGAACAACGAAACATATCTTCAGGCGTATCGTCTGCATAATCCGGACGTGAAAGTTACATCCATCGAATACAATGAATTTAAAGACCGATATGAATGGAATTTTGGTGGAATTCGAGTGGCGTCGAATGATACTTATCTCATTCGTCTTGCTTCAATACCTGGAATGCTATTTGAGGCCCATAATAAGTGCGCTTCAAGTGGTCTGCTGGACGTTTCCATGATTACAATGAATTCAAATAAATGCCATAATCTGTTGATAATTAATTTTCAAATTTTCATTATCCCTATTAAGGTTGATTGAAAATATTTTTCTTTACTATGGTTCTGTTCCACAGTTTTTATTTTTTGTCGTCGAGTATCACCAAAATTTCATTTCTCTTGTTTTCATTTATCGTCCATCGCCAATTATGATATGGTTCACTGATCACGCCGTTGCATTTTCTACATATATATATATATATATTCATAACCACACTAATGATTTATTTTTGGGAGGAATAGCCGAGAAAGAATATTAAAATAGGAGAAGAATCTTTTTTATTTTTTTGAATACAATGGACAGACAATACGTTGGCTAAAATCGCCTCTGACCAAACCTATAAAATTTATCGTTAATGCCAATTTTGTAGCGAATATCATATTGTTTTAAAAATGGACGCCTTTAAAGATAAAAATACGCAATTATCTAGAGAATCATCATTCATTGGCTTTGCACAGTTAGTTTCATCCTAACCAACTTTGCTGCAATACATCTGAATTAAGACTGACAGAGAATTGCTTAATTTGTTAAGACATATTTTATGTTTACATGATAAAATCTTGCATCTATGAATGACAGAATATTGCTCAAAATTATTGCACGAAATGATTAGATCAAACATTAGATCTATAAATGCAAATAAAATAGAAATTGACCAAATTTATTGCTGACCTCGTAATTCGTTCGATACTTTGGCTCTGAAAATGGCCAAAATAGATATTAAAATTGGTGGAAAACAATCGAAGTAATACCATAGTATCTTAAATCGAGTGATGCTGGCCACTCACAATTATATCGCCAAGGGCATTCTTGTTCAGTGCGACAAGCCGGCGAAGCGAGTCCAGTAATGGTGAGGATACTTTAAAAAAAATAGTGTCTCAAATATTACAATGGAAAAAAAATAAAAATTAGAATTCAAAATAAGGAATCAAATTAGACTCGAACGAACATCCTTTCGCTCTTATAAATCAGTCTATATATGCTAATAGAATGGTGACCGACTGGAAAAGACATTGGTCTTCAGTGGAGGCAGAAAGAATATTTTAGCAGCAGATTGCAACCGTTCAATCTTTCAACCGTTCTCACTTTCATATTTATTCCCGATCCTGCAATTTCGCAATTTTTCAGTAAATAAGACATCGTAGGCTGATTCCGATTTATTTCTTCATAAATTTTTGAAAGGGCCACAAATCAATGAAAGGAATCACAAAATTTCTACACAGATTAACATGGCTTTGCTCATTGCTCTTCGAGCTTAAAGATCTGCAAAAATTATTGGAAGCATAAAATGGCTAATGGAAAATATTGAATGGATTAAAGGAGAGATAAAAGAGGTAAAAGGTTTTGTTTAGATTCTGAATCAGATAACTTTTTTACGACCAATATTGATCAAGCAAACCAAACCGCTGATCTTTTGAAAATTGTCTTAAAGATAAACGATGAGAAGAAAATCCACTTTTGGAAATATTTTGGAATAGAAATATTGGATGGTTTCTAAAAAACTTGGTACACAACACTTGTGGCCCTTTTTCCGTTTACTAATTCTGATCATTGGAAATTTTTTATATTACAAAATAGCGATGTAAAAAAAATACCAGCGGTAACAAAATTGCTGATAATAATGATAACAACAATGCAGTAATAATATAATGTAATTAACAATATAATTGAATAATAAATGAAGGAAAAAAATATTTTTTTCATATTTTTCAAATTTAATAAATTTCGAACGTTTTGATTATTTGGAAAAATGTTTCTTTGTTTATAATGGCGAAAACATATCATTGGATTCAAATTAGAATGATTTCCGAGGAGCCATTCCTATCTTCCTAGAGTGATTCCGTGGCAAAAGTGTCAAGCGATCTTCGACAACAACAGCATTCGTGCATCTTGACGCATGCGATTTCCCTAAACCATTGCTGTGGCTGATAAAAATGCGCAACCGCAACAGAAATGATAATAATAAAAACAAAGTAAATTGACAAATTTATTGTTATTGAATTCAATAAAATCACCAAAAGTCACCGAATTTTTCGAAATATTTTTATAATAAATTTAGTGAAATTAATCATTATAACTTCGGCCACGAGATATTGATAGTTTCTGTAATTAATTTATAAAACGAACTTTTTTCAAGTGATCTGGAAGAATAGTTTAGATACTAAAAGTCTTTACATTATTGCTACATCGCCACTTTATCCATTCTAAACTATCGCTTCTCGATTGAACAATATTTTTGATAATTATGCTAATGTACACTCAACTGAGCAGTTAATCACAGTTGAAGTATAATATATCAGTGTTTCCCTCCATACGCACACTTTCACTGTAGTTTCATTTTAATCGTCATAAAACTCATTGCTTAAGTGTTTAAATGTATATTGAGATAGAAATTGGCCGTAGAAAGATTAGACTAATTCACCAGTACCACTCGAAATTTTGTCAAGTTTATTCCTGTCAAAGAAAGAGAAGAGAATCACAACTACGAGTTCATAAAAAAAAATATTTCGCAATGTGAATCACTCATCAGTTTTTGGAATTTATTAGAAAAATCGAGGAAATATCCTATTTGATTGCCAACAAAAGTCAATTTTATAAAATTTCATACTTTTACTTACTTTTCATTATCATATCACTTGATTTAAATCAGAATTAACCGTTCAATGAGTCAAATATTTCAAATTTTTATCATATTTTTGAAAACATTTTGAAGAGAAGACTTGTTTGTAGTTGACTGGTTTCGAAATAAAAGATTATTCAATGGCATTTTAAAGATTTTTCGATTTTTATAATAAAGATAAAGATAATAAAGATAATAAAGATTTTTAAAGTATATTTTTTTTAACTTTTATTCAAGAAAAAACTTTGTTAATTAATGATCACGATTAATGATCACAGTGGTTCTCCGGCTGCACCAGGCTGTATTGAAATCCCTTAAAATGCTTCTCTGTACTTCTTTTCTTCTATTTATCCTTGTCAGTGATGATGTAAATGTTTTCATATGCGTAGATCTCAAATTTTCCTATGCAATCTGAAACAATATTCCTTGAAAAAAATTATTTTAACAAAATAAATCTGGTCAATTTAAAGAAAAGCAATGTTTAAAATTTTAAATTTAAAGCAACGTTTTGTTTCCATTGTAAATAATTTTATCTTAAGTAATATAATATTTTAGCTTTGATTTCATGGAACAAAAAGGACATTAGGGATTCCGAGTACTGTTAAGTGTTTAATGATTTGGAGAATGGCATAAGTGAGGAAACGTATTGCTCGAGAGCCTTGAAAGACAATGCGGATAATATAAGCGATGAAACCTTTAAAAAAAAAAAAAAACCAAATTCACCTAGCATCTTCCTTCACCTTCTTTAGAAAATCCACAATAAGACTTTTCTTCAGGAAACTTCTTGAAATTATAGAGGAATACAGTTATAAGTATTTTATTATTACAATTTCCGCAGCCATACTGATGTCCAAAATCAGTATAAATCTCGCCCATTGGCTTTGTTAACCCAAATTTTTTGCAAGGAAATTCTCAAAAAAAATTAATTTTCTTAAAGTTAATAAAAAATTACAAGAAATTAACTAACTATTGCGAAATATTTTAAAAAAGCTCTTCATAAATAGAATAATTTAATGATTAATTATAAATTAATCTATCGAGAAATAGAGTTTTCATTTTGAATTTCGCAATATTTTGAATTTCTACATTTTTATTTTTCAACGACTCATTGTCATTTTTATTAAAATTTAATTTAAATTTGATTTTAATAAAGAAAATTGATCACTGACTGTATATATTGCATATCGTTACTTCAACTTCATTCTTTCATCTTTTTACATTTATATAATTAGATTAGTGGAATGAATATTTATCTGCTAAAAAATTCATAAGAATTTTTAACACCTGGAATCGCGAATGACTTAACAAATCGCAATGATGGTCGAGTATCTTCAGAATGAAATGAATTTGCTTTCAGATAAAGTGAAAGGAACATTTTCCAAAATCATCGAAAATTTAAAGTCGAAAATGAAATGCGTTTGGAGATAAAATGCAAATAATCTTTTATTTGAAAAATTCATTCTCAATAACGTATTAAATTATTTTTGGTGACAATCAATGTTGACAATCTGCCCTGAATAATTTTTCATTTTATCAGTACACTTAAGCAAACCATTTTAAAACTTCTCGCTTTTTCGAGCCTTTAAATTAATTTATCACCAATTTTTTCAAAAAAGATTGGTTGAATTATTTTTATCAAATTATCAGATCTGATATATGAGATGTTTTAAAGAAACCTAAAGTTACAAAAAATTGCTTAATAATTGAATTATATTTGGAAAACTGTAAGGTATTACAAGTTCATACAAATGACTACACGTTTCAATTGTATGTATATTTTTTAATTTTTAGAGCGAATAATTTAAGAAGTGATTCATTTTCTTATTGGAGGAACGATGCATATGTATGTGCGATAAGTTTTTTTTCCAATTAAAAAAAATTTTCTGGAAAAACTTTCTTGTATCTATAGAAAAATAATAAAAAGATGGCAATAATCTTATCGCTAAGCCACCAACGTGTCACGCTTCGCCGCGCTGTTTCGTATTAATATTTAATATTTTAATAAATAATTAGTTATTTTACTTTTAGGCGATTATAATGAAATGTAATATAAAATACTGGAAAATGCGCTCAGTTGGGAGCGCCGATGCTGAGGTTCGATTCCCCGTAGGAGGCGACTGAGTTGAGGTCACCGTAAAAAAAACAAATAAAAATGTATTTTATTAACACATTTTTATTAATATATGTAAATTTTCACAAATTTCAACAATACTTCTGATACATATTCGGAACGATGAATACACCACTACCACTATATTGTTTCAATGAATGAGCATTTAAAGTTTTACGGAATAAGTGAATAATAAAAATGGAATGAAACGTACAAAAAATATGCCAAAACTTTTCGCGTACGTATTGCTTTATCAAACAATTTTTTTCGGTTCACCTTTGGCTCGTTGCCTCGTTTTTTGCATACATAAAGAATCGCTTTCAAGCCAAATAATATGAATAAATCTACATATTATGGCTTTTTTATTTAATGATGAAAGATAAGTGACATTAAATAAATCGAAAATTTCCTTATTTAAATGAAAATTATCAATCAAACAATCTTTTGTTTTACAACAAATTTTTTTATTAATCTTTATATCGATAAGTTGCGTGCTATTTCGTATGCTGGCAGGTCATCACAAGATTACTAAAGGAGTTGGAGTAGGGGATAGAATAGCTCAGTGGGTTATTGCTCGATTGGGAGCACCGATGCTGAGGTTCGATTCCTTGCAGGACCTGCACAAAAGGTGACGCTCACCTGTATTTCTATCGCCAAGGGACTCCCTACCATATTTTTCCAACGCGAGTGGAGCGAATTTAACCAGCAATGGTGAGGACTCTTAAAAAAAAGAGAGAATTAAA